ATTATTTTCTAAATTAGTAACCTTTTTTCTATTAAGTCAATTAAACAATTTTCTTCACTAACTTCAAATTTTTTATCAATCATGCATTTAAAATAGCTAACCAACTTCGAACTCTTTTCACTAACTTAATTGAAAAATGCAATATTACTTTCAAAAAAAGGATTGTGAACTTGCTTTCAAATTAAACTTTGAACTACGTATACGACTATGCAACGTTCAAACACAGACGAATTTCAAAGGATCGTTCGAAAGCAATTATACAATCCTATTAAAAAAACTAACCAAACACATAAAGAACTACGAAATGGACTCTGATTTCTTCGCAAGGAGATACATAGATACCTGGTTAAAACCAAGGTGAGTCCCATAACTAAAAAATTAAATCTTTTCTTATACACATGGAAATAACATTTAAGTAGAAATTCCTGATCTACCCTAAAACCTACATAGGGAGCCCCTTGAGAAAAATGGAGATAGAGGGTGCCTAACACCTTCCCTTTGTCTAACCAACTCGTAAATTTAGAATCTCTGAAAAATTTAAGGTTAACCATTCTTTCCCGTCCTTAGGACAAAAAGTAGTGGTGGCGACTCGTATTTTTTAGCCGATTATGACATCTTTGCTTTATCATTATCGTTGTTTACGAATTGTTGTGACTATAGAGCTTTCTATTTACCATACAAAGATTGTTTGCTTAGGTCGAACCACCAACATTCATAGGCTACGACGGGTATTTGTTTTGGGTGTGATAACACTATGTCCTTGCTTCTTGGAGCAAACGATGTATTTTGTTATGATGAAGCGGCAGATGTGCTTCTTAAATTTTCTTATTTTATGGTTTATAACTTAGGTCCTAAAATGATGTTAGCTACCATTTTTTATTGATGTACTTGTTGTTTTTATTTAACAGTTTATATAGTGGTATAATGATATGTGTATCACGCTTGACAAGTTACATGTACTCCATGGGAAGAGGCTGTAATTTGCAAAAACAACATGATATGGCAGTATCTTTGTACTGTGCTCCGCGTCATAGAGGACTGTTCCTCGATCATGGTTAGGATCCTCGTCCCTTCCCCCTAAGGCTTGGCCCACATTGAGGTGAATTTTCGAGCTCTACCATATACGCCCTTGGATTGGCTAGATCTGATGGGTATGTACTAGCTACCCAAAAATGCGTTTAAGATGCCTCAGATGAGGAGTCATGTGAGGTGTGTGATTAAATTGTATAAGAATCGCATAAATGCATTTAGTCTGTATCATTTACATAATTAATCATGGAATACGTCTAAGTCATATCAAATACAATAAGTAAGTTAAGTTTGTATCAGATACACATTCATGTGGACAATGCATTTAAGTCGTAACAGAATCATAGAAATGCGCTAAGTTTGTATCAGATATGCATTTATGCATTTCATCTTTATTACCCTTGTCTCAAGTACTCTAGCCTAAAGAGAGACAAAGAAGCATACAATAGAGGAAGCAAGATGATACACACACATATATTAATAATGAATTGAGTTTGGTACAAAGAAATAGTGAAAAGACTAGATAGATACACCTTCAATGTCGATTACGTATGGTCGGACATTGTCTGAAGTCTTTGGTATTTGTCCTTAATCAGGGCTCCAGATTGAAAGATCTTCCTCCGGGGTTTCAACGTGAGCCTGCCTTCTTAAAGGCTTTTTCTTTGATTGGATAGGGTGCTAAGGTACCCCGCTTTGTATTTGCCCGTCGGCGTGTAATTGAATGGCCGACTACTCAAGGTCGAAGCTTGAGGATGACTATTGGGGTCTTAAGACCTTGGGGAGATATCCTTGGTGATGCCCCGGCAAGGTGCTTTTTGACCCCCAAGGTTGAAATTCCTTGAATTTTGTCTTACTTTGGAGTGGGCATCCACCTAAAGTGGTTATAGACGACTGATGTCTTCCAAAGAATGATCCGACTTGGTGGTCATATTTTCATGGACACCTAAGAGAGGTTAAATGCGGAAGATGTTCCTTGATAGGCCTGCCCCTCTGACCTTTGTAAAAGGAGACGGGTTCACTCTCCCTCTCTAGTCTTTCCTTTAGAATCGGTATATCAACCAGCGATCGGGGTTAGCTACCGACTAGTCTCCTTGCAACTGAAGTTTGAGGTACCTTTCTTCGGTATGCTTGGAGAACCTCTATCTTTGATCTGGCCTGAGTAGACCTTGGTGCATCAAGTGGAAATCAGGTGGTACCTATAGGAAGCACCCTGATACTAGATCGGCGTTGGGCGTTAACTATGAATATTTGGTATTTGAGCTTCATTACTATGAACTTGTAGTATCTTCAAAGTCTCCATGATGAATACTCCAATAGCGATTGGAAGTACGGGTGACGTTAAATCAGAAGAGGGATTATGAATCTCCAACATGACCTTCATGGAGATTGCCTTCAAACCCCATCCTAAACCTAGATTTGGATCTCAGATCCTTCCGTTGATATTTCACGGAGTTCTCGAGCGTATCATATATTTGGATTTCAAGGAATTGAAGAGGAAACGATGATTGATCTTAAGACTACAACATGTCTTTGTGTTTGCTCTTGGACGCTTATCGATTCTAAGATCTGAGAAGGTTGTTAACGATGGAGTTGGAAGGTAAGCGTGAATTTGTGGAAAGCCTGTGAATCAAAAGTCTATTCTCTCTTGATTTAGTGACCTAATGAGGTTACGAAACGGCGAATCGCAGATTAGATTTGAAATCATAGAAATCAGAAGTCGATTCCCATAAGCGGCGTCATTGTTTTGTTTAGGAACCATTTATGGATGTAGTTTGAGAAATGATGATCTTCAACTATGGCTTTGATCTCCTTTATGGTGGAGCGGGGTGGACTTGCATGGTTAACACTCAAACACGCAAGTTAGTTCAATATTCAAGATGAGTATATTGAAAAATAAAGATCAAAGATTATACCTTGCTCTTAGCATGTAAACTAATTTTATACTTTTGAGTCACTGTAGAATGTATTGGCATTAATCATTTGAGTCTTTGATCGGTCCAGAACAGTTAAGAATGCTTACATTTGTGGCTTCTCCTAATGCTTTTTGAGACACATCGAATAATCCACGTGAAACCTATATGATTATGACTAAGTCTTTCATTAGACATTGGATTAACATAGTGATATAGAACATTGTGTGTCGGGTCTTACAATAACTAGCAGCTAGACAATGTCAAACTCATGGTTCACAATGAAGTTAGAGAATTCGAGGTCAATTGAGTCAAATATAGTGACAACTTATTCAACCCTATGATCCAAGGGAAACAATGTGTGGCAGGAGTTCTATTTGTATAGGTACATATGGTAAGATGGCCACCCTCACAAATTGGAATGTCGAAAGTCTCTCGTTTCAACAACGTTGTGCATTTTTTCATCTAAAATTTTCTCAATGATAAGATGTTTAATCTGGTCTTTTTAATGGTGGAGCCGTTAACAATGTTATGCCCCTTTTAACCTTGAAGAAGTTGTGAAAAATATGAAGGATCTAATTTCAACAAACATGAAGATAACAAGTAGGGGTGTGCATGGTTACCAAATTTTAAGAACCAATCCATTTTAATGGTTCTAGTTTTAAAATTAAACCATTTTTTATAATAATCAATTTAAAATTGCAAAATAGTTTCAATTCGGTTCAAAACCGGTTTAAACCGGTTTTCAATCAAAATTGATTTATAAAAAAAATGTATCTTTCTTAATTTGAAGAGACGAAAAAAATTCAGGTTAATGAAGGGAACAAGATGCAAAGGCATATGTCATTTTTATACTATTATATTCAAACACTAGCACAAATCGTTTTTCATAAATTTTTTGAAAAGCAAAAAAGTAAAATTTAATTTAAGAGTAAAAACATTACACTTTAAGCTATGATAAAGTTGCACCAGAACACTAAAATTAGAACCCAAAAAAACTAAAACAAAACATCCTAAAACCAAGACAAAATCTGTTTCAAAACAATTGCTACACTATAACAGTTAAACAAAAAAATACAGATTAACAATCGTTCATCACAATTAACTTAATAAGTTCTTCTTCCCTTAACTAATCACCACTCTAATTAACTAATTAATAATAAATAAAATAAAATATTTAAACTAGTTTTCTATTTTCAATTTGAATATTATATAAATTGATTTACACGAATTTGAATTTAATGTGTCTTAATAATATCTTATTCATTAATAATAATATCATATACATTTGATTTTATATATGACAACTGGTTATCAAAAATGGAAATCAAATTTTTATTTTGATATCAAAATGGATCTGGAGCGGTTCACATCCAACACAAATTGAATTATAAAAATTGATGTATTGAATTTTTAAAATTGGTTCGTGTAAACCAGTTTTTTTGCACACCCCTAATAACAAGTTTCACTGGGATAACAAGTTTCATGGGATAGCATCCAAGACACTTAGCGTTCCTATGGCTAGTAGAAAGAAATACTTGCATGGAATTAATGCATCTATATCTATATTTTTAAAAACAACTAATAAGAAAGAAAAAAATTAAATTCATAATTGAAATTATGTGGTGTTTCTAATAATGAAAGAGCGAGTCAATTTTATTTTATTTGTTAATTAATAATAAATTTATAATTAATTATTTATAAAATTACGCGTTTGTCTCTATCTAGAAAAAGGAAGTAAGGTCAAATTTCCCTGTCATAAAGAAAAAGACATAAATATTGTAAATTTATTCGGCACACAATCAAACAAATTTGTTAACGACCTTCCCTGTATTGTACCATACAAAAAATGGTAATACCTTACATTTTCAGTATAAAAATACAATTGTATGAAACAAGAATAAACACAAATTTCATTATATATACTCAACACATTATTACAAATTTAAGAAAACACTTCAATATATATCTTGGCAAACTGTTATTACACATAAAACATATATAGGTATTTATATATATGTATGCAGATAATGCAGTATATGGTATATGAAAAATTGATTTTCATACCATATTAATCACCAATTCTTCAAAACGTTCCATAGCAGAAGCAGGCAAACCAAGAAGAACACTTATACTTTTCTTTTCTTGACCATGTGACAAGAACAAAACAACTTCTTTATCTGGCAATGTAACAGGACCAGAACAAAGTGGTTCCCCCCAACCAAAATCTGTTGTGTCAAAAGACAATTTAGTCCAAGTTGTGATCAGAAGTGTTGCTGTTAAAGAAGGTCTAGCTCTTGTAACTTCGAAATAATCAATAGCAGATCTCATGTAACTATCATTGATCATGTCAATTGCATTGTGAACCAATCCAACTGAAAATGAAAAAGGGTTCTTGAGTAACTCATCTGCTTTGCACATAGAGTTTGTTAGCACAATGGAGTTGCCAAAGTATCCCTTTGGTATCGGCGGGACGAATCTCGACCGTCCGTCGACGGCGAAGAGGAGTTTAGTTTGCTGATTAGGATGCAAGTTTAAGGCCGAAGTTCTTGATCGCCATACGAAAGCCGAGAGGGCTTCGAAAGTCGAACATTTTTTTAAAACTCCGTCTTCGGTGGCCTCTTTCTTGAGTGAGTCGAGCTTTTCGGGGGCGAAAAGGAAGGATTTGTGGATGATTTTCTCCCCTTGATAGATTTTTTCCGTGTTGGAAAGATCTTCGATTTCGTCGAACTCGTGGTGGTGGAACTCGATTTTGGGAGGGTTGCGCGATTTGAGAATGGTTCGATCGAGAAATGGTGGGAGTTTTAAGTCTAAACCTCTGGCTGTTTGAGCCCATGCATTAACAAACTCCATGGCAGATAGTCCATCTTTCATGCAATGGAGCATGTTGAGTCCTAATGTGAATCCTCCACATTTGAACTTTGTTACCTAGAAAAAAATTTCATGTAAGATGTTTGATTTTTACATATCAAAAACATAAGTGCATAATAAGCATGTGTGCTCATGTTCAATTAGATCTCAATATTTATGCAAATTTATTAAGAAATTATTAGTTGTACATTGATCATGATGATAAAGTTTTAATTTCTTGATAAATTATACTCTTAATTTTGAGAGAACCCAATACCTTAACATAGCACATGTATACAATTAAAAGTTATCACATGACCCACAATTTTTTGTTGATATGACACTTTTAGGTATTGACTAATTAATTTCTTCAGGCTCATCATATTGGGAAAGAGAAGAGTTTGTTAAAAAGCCTAAAACTACCAGCACCATAGGCATCTTCAACTTCCTTCTTCTTTTTATGTACAATACATATTTACTATAGAGAAATATTTGCATATAAATAAATTCATAAAAATAATTTCTAAAAGAATATATCTTTTATAATTTATAATATTTTAATATAACATCAAACAATATTATGATAGTGTTCATATACCTGAACGGTCATAGGAGGCATCTCCAATATACTCCTAGCACCAGGAACATCATAAACCAATTTCCCAAGCTTATCAGGATCTGGTTTTTTCAAATCACCAATCTCATCTACACCACAATCAGCTTCAGCCTCAACAAAAACTGCACCTTCTCCTGTATTATCCACTATCAACTTCCCTTCTGAACATATAATCAACTTTCCAGCCATAGGATAATAAGGAACAAGAATCTTCGACAAAGCTTCCTTAATAATTTTTACTGCTTCTTCATTTCCTCTAGATTCTGATTTAAAGCAATAAACTGTACGCATTGGAACCGCAATATTCTGGTCGAGATTCGAAAGAAAATATAGTCCTTTTTCTGTTTCTTCCGCCGGTTGAACTCGAATCGGTTCTCCTCTCTTTACATTAGGTTGTTCATTGCTAGAGATGTTTGTACTTCCCATGATCACGTAATATAATCTCTTGAACTAACACAAAACTAATAGTGAGAATATGAAAATGTTAGAACAAGTCATGCATGGAAAATGAGAAAATGTTGTACCTTAAAAAAAAAAAGGAAATATTAAGGTTGTGTCAGATGTTTATGTTAATGTACGTTCACCTGAATGTTCGGTGCTTGAAATGTTTGGTAGCAACAAATATTATTATTTACATGTGGAGTAGGCTTAGAGAGTTTAATAGTTATTTATAGAAAACTAGGAAGAGAGGTGAGAAAAGATTAAATGGGATATCATTATTTAGTGAATAATTAATCGAATGCACCAACTTGAGAGAGACTTATTTTTTACAGCTATTTTTATAGATTATGCATGCAATTAATGATCCTCAACTGTTTTTGTTAGACTTTTAAAAAAAAATAGGTGAATGATAATGTTTTATTTATTCTTAAGGTTTAACGTGGCTTTATTGTTGCCCTAAAACAAAAACGTGGCTATGTTTTATGTGTCAACTTGAAAAGCAAGGCGCTTAATGGTAGACACGTCAATCTCAAGAGTCCTATGACACAATGTAACCCAATTCCTTTGATTTGAGTTTTTTTATCTATTCATAATGTTCACAAGTTAAATAATTGAATTGTTTATCAACCTTTTCAAACTTATAAAAAAAAAATAGAAATCAAACAACCAAACAAAAATAGTGTAGGTATTGGATTATTTCTCATGTTTGGAATGGTTGAAATGAACGTGAATTAGTGGCGCATGCGTGAGTAACTCTTTGTTATTGTTATTATTTAATAAAGAGAAATAGGGTTTATGTATGGGAGATAATAAGAAAAAGTAGAGAGAAGAGTGAAATTTTTCAGCCTCATTTCAGTACATAACAGTTCTATAAAATCAGAGTTTTTTCGCAATCTAACAGTCGGACTGTCTCGAAATTTTGGCACAGTGTTCGTCACTCATAGGAGTATATTCTGAACGGTGCAGATTGGATTCTGAACTTTCTAATGAGTCTTTCGAGTCCATTTTTGAGGTGAGAATTTCTTGATATTTTTGGGTTTGTTTGTCTCTTTTGATTCTTGTTGTATTCAAAGATTGAGTGTAGATCTTGATAATGTTTATGTATGCCTCTAACTAGTGTTAGAGAGAACCTTTCTTGTACCCATTGTTGATTATAGTGAAGATTTTAAGTGACTTACGGGTCTCGTGATTTTTAACTTCTAATTAACCAACGCTTTTCCATGTTAAAATTGTGTTGTGTTGTTTGTTGTGCTTTGTTGGTTGTCGTTGCATTTGGTATTTGAGAGAGATTGTGTTATTGAATTATTCAGTTGCGTTTGTGATTTTCTCCCAATAAGTGGTATCTATAGTCGTAGTTTGATTTGTGTAACGATGGAGACGAACACATCTATGATGCTGAGTTTGAATGGTTCCAACTATAATGTTTGGAAAGGAAAAATTGGAGATATACTTTATGTGAAAGGTTTTAGCTTGCTGGTTTTCTCTAATGAAAAAATCGATGAAAAGAGTGATGAAAAATGGGCTTTGTTGCATAGATAAGTTTGTAGTTATATTCGTCAATAGATAGATGATAATATTCTGAATCATGTGAACTCGGTGACTCATGTTCACTCTATTTGGACCAAACTTGAGGAGTTATATGCAAGAAATATGGGGAGCAATAAGTTATTCTTGTTCGAGCAATTGATGTCATTGAGGTATAGTGATGGTTCACCAATAACCGATTACTTGAACACTTTCCAATGTTTTTTAAATCAATTATGGGCGATGAATCTTACTTTTGATGATGAAATTTGAGGTTTATACCTTCTTGTTACTTTGCCTAATTCTTGGGAGACTTTTATGACATCACTGTCTAACTCCACTTCGAATGATATCATCTCGATAGACTTGGATAAAAGTAGTGTGTTGAATGAGGAGTTGAGGTGTAAGTCACATGGTTCTACTTCACATTTTTAGGTGTTGGTTACCGAATCAAGGGGGATACATCAAAGTAGGGGTTCAAGTAATCGTGGGACTTCACGTGGTAAATCATAAGGAGACTCTAATAGATTCTCTCATATTGAGTGCTATTATTGTAGGGAAAAGAGACACATAAAGAGGTACTATCGAAATTTGAAAAGGGAAAACAAGAAAAAGAGCTACAACAACGATAAAATGGAAGGTAACAATAATGAACATGTTGTTATTGTTAATGATTTCTTTGTTGTTTGTGATAGTTATGTAGAGAATATCAATCTATCATGTGATGAGATGGATTGGGTGGTTGATATTGGTGCTTCTACTCATGTAACCTCGAGACGTGATCTTTTTTCAACTTATGAGACCGGTGACTTTGGGTTGTTCGTATGGGAAATAATGGGCAAGCTAATATCATCGGAATAAGAGATATTTGTGTCGAACCTAGTAATCGGGCTACCCTAGTTCTCAAGCGCGTGAAACATATTTCAGAACTTCGAATTAATTTTTATCCGTTGGAAAGTTAGATAATGAAGGATATGATAATTCTTTTTCGGGTAATGAATGGAAGTTAAAGAAAGGCTCAATGGTGGTTGCTAAAGGAAAAAGGAATTGGAACTTGTATATTATCTAACTTGGGGTTTCGAAGTGTTACATCAACATTGGTGACAATGATAGCTCATCTGAATTATGACATAAGAGTTTGGGGAATATGATTGAAAAAGGTTTGAGAGTTTTGGCAAAGGACAATGTGTTATATGGTGTCTCTGGTGCAAAATTGAGAAAGTTTTTGCATTGTTTGGCGGGTAAGCAAAGGCGAGTTTCTTTTATGTTATCCGAACCAAAGAGGAAATTGAAAGTGTTGGATTTAGTATATTTTGATGTGTGTGGTCCGATGAAGACACGGTCACTTTATGGTTCATATTACTTTGTGACTTTCATTGATGATTGTTCTCAAAAAGTATGGGCTTATACCTTGAAGATGAAAGATCAAGTATTAGATACCTTCGAGTCGTTTCAAGCATCAGTTGAAAGAGAAACGGGGAAAAAGCTCGAGTGTATCTGAACCGATAATGGGGGAGAGTATGTTATACCTTCCAACAAGTATTGTTAAGATCAAGGTATAAATCATCAAAAGTCTCCTCCAAAGACACCACAATTGAATGGGTTAGCCAAACAAATGAATATAACTTTGGTTGAAACCGTGAGATGTTTACTTTCTCAATCAAAGTTATTGAAATACATTGGGGGAGAAGCATTGAGAATGGTTGTACATCTTTTAAACTTCACTCCATGTGTTTCATTGAAGTTTGATGTTCCAAATCATGTGTGGAGTGGTAAATATGTTACCTACGACCATCTTCGGGTGTTTGGGTGAATGGTTTGTGTACATATTCCGAAGGATGGGAGATCAAAATTGGATGAGAAGTCGAAGAAATGTATGTTTGTTGGGTATGGACATGATGATTTTTGGTATAGATTATTTGATCCAGTTCAACAAAGTTTTTACGTAGTCGTGATGTCGTATTCGTGGATGATTATACCATTGAGGACGTCGACAAAATTGAGAATAAAGATCCAACTTTTGAAGACGAAGAAATATTTGATACAGACTCAACTATTATTTATCCTAACTCTATCACTTTCGAAGATGTTCCAATTGAAAATTAAGGTGTGGATTTGAATGTTGATAATGTTTTAAATCCTAATGATATTGTAGATGTAGGTGTTATGGAAGACTTCATTGAAAATGAGCTTGATCAAGAGGTTTAAAATGTTGAGAAACCAGTTGCTTCTAATGAGTTGAGGCGGTCTATTCGTGATAAAATGCCTTCCATTCGATACCCCTTGAATGAGTATGTTTTTCTTACCGATGGTGGAGAACCCGGAAACTTTAAAGAAGTTTAGGAGGATGAGAACAAAAAGGAGTGGATGGATACCATGAAGGATGAAATGCAATCACTTTGTGAGAATAATACCTTTGAGTTAGTCAATTTTCCAAATGGTAAGATAGCATTGATGAATAGACGGGTTTATTAGATTAAGCAAGATGAGTGTTCTTCTCAAAGAAGATACAAGTCTCTCTTGGTGGTAAAAGGTTTTGAATAAATGGAATGTCTCGACTTTGGAAATATTTTTTCTTCGGTTGTGAAAATGAAATATATTATATTGGTTTTTGGGCTAGCCGCTAGTCTTGATTTGGAAGTAGAGCAAATGGATGTGAAGATGCCTTTCCTTCATGGTGATCTACATGAAGAAATATATATGGAGCAACCATATAGATTCCAAGAGAATGGCAAAGAAGACTATGTTTGAAAATTGATTAAAAAAAAGTATTTGTGGTTTGAAACAAGCACCTCGCCAATGGTATCAAAAGTTCAACTCGGTGATGACTGAACATGTACAAGATGACCAAGGTCGAACGTTGTGTGATTTTCTGGAATTTCTCCGAAGATGATTTCATTATTATCTTGATTTATGTGGATGATATGATCATTTTTGGAAATAATATTTCAAGAATTAAAGAGTTGAACACACTTTGAGTGAATATTTTTCTATGAAGGATTTAGGAGAGGCTCCGAAAATTATTGGTATTGAAATTATTCGAGATCGAAATGAGAAGAAGTTGTACTTGTCACAAGAAATGTATGTGGAGAAAGTCCTTCGGTGTTTTAGTATGGATAAGGGTGAAACGATGAGAATTCCACTTGCTTCTTATTTCAAGCTTAGTCATAGATTATGTCCATCTATGGATGAAGAAAAGTTGAGTACGAAGAACATTTTGTACTCATCGGTCGTTGGTAGTTTGATGTGTGTTATGGTTTGTGCAAGACTTGATATTGCTCATGTCCTAGGAATGGTGAGTCGTTATCTCTCAAATACGGGAAAAGATCATTGGGAGTTCATGAAGTGGGTGATAAGATATTTGTGTGGCTCGTCAAATTTGAAGTTAACCTTGGGATGCAAGAAGTCTATGTTGGTTGGGTATACGAATTCAGATCTATCTGGAAGCTTAGATGATCGAA